TCCAGATAGCACGTAACAAGCATCCCCAACCGAGGGTCAAAGAACGCTTCTCATCCGAAGTGCTGAGGAGTGGCAGCACTCCCTTCCGCAAACCACCGCACTGCCCTCTCTGAACTCATTTGCTCTCGTCCAATGTTATCACTGCTAATACCGCCACCGCCGAGAGAGGGAGAGAGGGAGAAGACAAGTCGCGCGCGCCCTCCAGGGCAAGACGGAGACAGACATGGAAGAACCCTGAAGAAAGAAGCGGGCCCGAACTTATTGAAGGATGTTTCAGATGTGACAGTGCCTCATCGACAGCCTGGCCAAGTCGTGGGCCCAAATTTCCACTGGTATAGTTTCCCTTTGTGCATGGGAGTGCTCGGCCTCAGGGCGTTGGTATCTAGTTTCCCTCTACTCCGAGGAGAGGCAATAGCTTCCACTCTCCTCGTTCAGGTAGCCTACTCTTGCACCTTTTCCTCTCCGCTCTTTTTCCCACTGAGCATCATTTCCCCAAGGGTCCCCCTCGCATCGCATTCCCACCCGTGCGTCCCGACTCTGGGCGCGGGCAGCTCGGGCACGGGGATTTTCTTAGGGTCAAGTATACGACATGTCAACCAAAAATAGAAGGAAGGACATAAGAAAAACGCGTCCCAAAGTTTGGGATTTTGCGCTGACAAGATGAGATGAGGTCCACGTCAAATGTGGGTTCGACGCAGACGTCCGGGCGGAAAAGACGACGAGGATGCAGCCCAGCGTGCCTGCATCGCAAAAAGCACATACATGTACGCAACGCACAGGAGCATCGCCCCGTCACCGCCACCACATTGGAAGCAATCCATCCATACAGGTACGAAGCATTATGCGATTGATGGCTATGGATCCGCCTTTTTGCTTTTCTAGCACCAATAAATGGTGCTTTGTATTGTTCAATGGCTTTCACTGTGTCTCTTTTCTTTCCGAAAGCTGGCCTTATCCGCATTGGATTTGCACAACCACCCGAGCTCGATAGATCCGCATGGCTTCAAGCGGGGCAAAAGCGAATGTGAAGAAGCTGAACTGCAGCCGCCCATGCCATGATCAGAGGGATCGTCCGGAGGTCGGACTCAACCCCATTGTCTCCTTCCTTTGTCTTCCACCACATATCACCAGGTCCGAGAGATCGTCACAAGACGACCAGCACGGTCCCGAGGTCCATCGCCTTGTTGGCTAGCCTCACTGGGGAAGCTCTCGCCCGTTCAAAGGTTTTGTGTATATACCAATGCTCTAATATAACATCGCGCGCGTGTCCAATCGCAACCTTGGTTCCCTCCTCGGGGAAGGAAAGTCATTCCCTCAGGTCGAGAGGTACTGTCGTAGCGAAGTGATGCATCCCACACGACGCGTCTCAAGAAAATGAGCTGCCTTTTGGACTGGTCGGCAAGTAGGCTGTGGCACGGTACGTACCTGGCTGGCGGAAGGGCAAAGCAAGTCAGCATAAGGACAGGGGGCCAGGGGTAAGAACAAGGAATAGAAGAAAAAGGAAGGAACACAAAAGAAGAGAGGCTTTTCCGCTGATGATCGCCGACAGGGATTCCATGGATCAATGCCACGCCGTCTCTGGCCTTTTTGATTCGAGTTTGGTGCAAGGCTTTCCCCGCAAGGCAATTTGAAGTCGGGCGCGTCAGACCAGGCGTTCTCCAATCTCCCAATGTCGAGTCTGAGACATCTTTGCTGGGGAAAGAAGATAATAATTGCAGTTGAAAGAAAAAGAAAAAGAAAAGAAAAGAAACGTCGGTTTTTGTAGTTTAGCTCGGGTTAGGTGCCCTCGATCTCCAATCCCTTTGAGATTCGATGTTCGTACCTGTATATCACTCGCGAGCTTTGAAACGGACCGGAGAAGATGAAAAAAAAAAAAGGCACAGCTTGCGACTCGGTGATCAGACCGAGCACCGAAGGATGAATGAATCTTTGGTGCCTGCTTTTTTTTGCTTCAGCATTCAATATGTCATAAATCATTTTGAACGTCTTCAGATATCGAAATGCCTGGGGCGTGATCCGGACACAGGCCTATTCCGCAAATACTCTTTAAGGAGAGTGGCTTGCGAAATTGTCCCTGGTTCTGTAACCGTTTTCCTTTCTTTTTTTCATCCTTTTCCACTCCCCTTTGCTTTTTTGCCTATCGAGTCGATACAGCATAGACGCGCATTCCCATCTTGGATACTACATGGGTGTCTAAGTGGAAGCCAGCTAATGATTCGGGATGAAGGCTATTGCCTAGACACCTGCCAATGACCTCATTGTTGTGCCCTCACGCTTTTCGGGCGAGTAAGTGGCCAGATCTTGATGAATTGATCTCACCACGAGCTGCTTTCTTCTCCGAGCCCAGTTGAAGTGTGGTCCAGGCTCCTTTCACCTGCAAGGTACAGAGCACCAATACATTTCAAATCATGCAGAGTGGTTCTTCCCATGCACGCTTGTCTAACGGGCCCATGGGGCTCTGCTTCTTAATTAACATGATGAGCACGATCTATGGACGGATGTGGTAGCCGTCAGTGACCACTCATCGTCTCGAAAACGAGAAGATGCACGGGGACGAGAGCGAAACAGTACTGACTGATGCTTAATCTGTACTTGATGTATTCTTTGCGGGGTCTTGCAAACTACTATGAGTAATGCGCCAAACATTCGATTGTCCCGGAACTCGTAAGGGCCTCGTGGCCACACAACCAAATTTGCGGGAGCGGGAACACGGGCCAAGGTCAACCTCGAGAATGGGCCAGATGGGTGTCTCTTGCGTGTAATATATTGAGCCTCTTGGAAATCCATTTCATTGCCATCCGTCAAAATAGATCCGCGGGTCCAGTGTAGTACTACCTTCTTTGATAGCGTATAACAGTTCGACAGAGGAGAGGGCGGAGAACCCAATAACACAACCGTGGTTCATCGAGATCGCAAGTCGCATTTTCCCCAAACTCTTGCTCGATTGTTCAGCAAGTCCCTCCAGAAAGCCTTGCGCCGTTGTAACCTTAATAAGGTTGAAACCAGCGTCGCCTTTCTCATTCTTTGGCTCGACCCCGAATCTGTAAGAAAGGGGACGAGGGGAAAGAATGCACATTGTTTAAAAGTGTCCACGTTCCGGCGGTGTTCAAGGTGCGGAATGCACGCTCTTGACATAAAAAGGAAAAGAAATTCCATTTCCGCCATTCTGCCACTGGTTCGTCCAAAAGGAGAATGAGAAGCATGAGTGAATGACAAAAAGCTATGTGCCGTATCCATGGCCCATGGTTTACGTTGCGCCATCTCAAACTTTCTAGTCCGTTGCGGCCGACATCCTCAGGGCCATGCACTTTACAAAACTATGTCGATAGAGCCTTTTAGATGGACAGTGAGCCTCCCCCGCACGCATTCATATATCCTGATAGAATGCTGTTCCTCTTTCGAGGCTACCAGCGCGGGAACGAGATGCGAGAAGAAAGCGACAGTAAAGATACATACTGTGTTTTTGCTCGATTCCTCGGTGTCGAGGAGCTGCGAGGCAACGCCGACGGTGGTCTAACAGTTTGCGCACCTGGTGTTTCGACGACTACATGTATGGTTTATACTACGCTTGTCTCAGCCTAGGCTACGTAAGAAAAAGAGGAGGGGCGAAAACATGTAGCAATAAAGAAGAGTATAAGAAAAAAACAGGTCGTGTATGCGAGAGAGAATGCACAACTGAGAGACGACCATTCATCTCGATGGCTCACGGACAAGTTAACCGGACATATGGACTGCGCACTCAGAACCAAGCTGAGGTGAGTCCTTTTCTCGTGATGCGGCCGTCTTGAGAAACCAGTGAATTCAGGGATAGTAAGGAGGCTGTGATGACAGGCGTACGTGGACCCTCTTCTCAGCTATTCAACAATGTATTCGCAGCAGACAAAGACATACAAAGGCGTCGTGTGGATACTATATTGTATGTCTGCAATAAGGGACACTCGGAAGACACGACTCTCGGATACCGGAGACAGGTATACGATCGGATGCACCACTGACTCGGCTGGAACACGAGGGTGGACGACCGCCGACAGAGACCCTTCTTGCATTGCCACCTGCGAGAAGAAACTTAGTAGATAGGCAACCAATGATTTGTGTTTTTCTTTGGGTTCGGGCTTTAAGGGTTTCACGTCTTCTGGCATGGAGGGGCAGGCGGCAAACCAGGCAGCTTAGAGCTGTACAGTTTTGGAATGGAATCGATCCAAGAATGGATGTTTGTGTTGCTGGAATGTCTTGAACAAGGGAGCGCCACTCGCACAAACCCAACAAACGGAGAGGGATTTGACTTGGCCGTTTGTTGCTCTCCCCGGCTGGAATTCTTTCCGCATTCGGACGGAAGAAAACAGGAGGCCGAGACAATGGCAGCGAGCCGCCTTCCATAGCAACTAGATATCTCGATTGCACGACTTTTTCGATAGACCGCAGGTGAGGCGCGCGGGGAATACACCAAGAAAGTGTGGGTGCATACAATACTCTCCGCCCTAGCGGCAGAGAAGAAACGCTCCGTCCAAGGAAAAAGCGAGCTGCGAGGTGCTTGCGCCAAGGAGACCCTTCAGCTACGATGGCCAAATTCATTGGTGGTGGAGGATGTTCGTGCTAGGGTCAAGCGTGCGTATAGTTGAGAATATCCCGGGGACGCGGTCGAGACAATGGGAAAAGCAAAGAGAAGAAACGCTAGCAAAGATCGGTTCTCGGTGAGGGGGAATAGATGACGATGTTCTCCCTAAACCGATAAGCAAGTGGAAAAGCGAAGAAAAAAGTAATGATGTATACTGGCACTCGCTAATCGTTGCCCTATCTTACAAGAATAATGCCCAAAATTGATATAGCCGCAGTATAAGACCGAATTCTGAAGTTGCCCCCTTTACCATTCCTACTTCTATCCCTACGACGCGCATTCTTCGAGTTACGCGTTGTTCATAGTGGTTCTCCCCCTCGCTCTTCCCCTGCCCGGCTATCACGTAGATCATGTTGACTTTAAACGCGTGTTCCGTGTATCTTGTTTACTCGAAATTGTGAGACTTTCTCACCTGGATGCCGTGCGCTAAAACTGCTGCATCGTCAGGCACCTGAGGGTCCTCTGCTGGGGGTTCCTCTTCCGCCGGAGGTTCCACTGTGCCCTCCTCTTCCGGTGCCTCCTCCTCGACTGGGGGTTCCTCCTCTGCTGGTGACTCTTCTTCTACTGGAGGCTCCTCCTCGGCTGGGCGCTCTTCTTCAGCCGGAGGCTCCTCTGCGCCCTCTTCCTCCGGCGCCTCACCCACCGGAATCTCCACCCACCCATCTTCAGTTTCCGTAGGCGGAGCTTCCCCGTCTCCGTGCCGGTAGGCGCCTCCGGCTCCCCTTCCTCCACAGGAGGCTCCTCCACCACAGGCGGCGGCGGCGGCGGCGTCAACGCATCCACCCTCTCCAAAACCACCCTCAGCGCGACAGGTTCCACCGCCACCGCCGTACCATCCTCGTCAATCTCAAACACCAACTCGTCCAGCGCCCTCGCCGCCCACAAATTCGACGACGCCGACAACCACGTCGCGCAATCGGTCGAAAACAGCCTATTCTCCCTCGCGGGGCTATCCGCGTGCTCAAATGTAGCCTTGAACGCGACGCGCCGCCGCAGCACCTCCGTCCCGTCGACCTCTTGCCGGCGGCGCACGACCGTCTCGAGACCGGTCGGGTAGAACCGGATGCGGGGGTTCACGGGGTCCGTCGTAGACAACTGCAGCATCACAGCCACGGCGGCCATGTTGGTGTAGTTGCTCACCCAGCCCGCGACGCTGAGCCCCGGGTCGTCGTCCACCGCCACGACGAGCGACGAGTTGAGCGCCGTGACGTTGGCGAACTCGTAGCTGCCGGCGAAGTTGGCGCGCGCCAGGTCGCGCGCGGCGGCGTGGACGGCGGGCAGCAGGGTGGCGCCGATGGCGTCGGCGAAGTCAAAGTTCATATTGCCCGGCATGTTGCCGGCCGTGAGCACGGTGAAGCCGATGCCGTAGTCGGGGAGCATGATGATGAGGGCGGAGTAGTCGCCGATGCGGCCGGCTTTTGGAAGCCGTACGTCCAGAGGTAGGGGTGGCCCATGTTGATGCGGCGGATGCCCCAGGGCGTGCTCAGCGCGGCCATGGGGTCCGAGGTGAAGGTTACGGGGCGGAGCCAGCGGCGCGTGACGGCGTCGGGGAGGAGCTCGGAGGTGAGGATGGCGCGGCCGACGCGGGTCACGTCGTCGGCGGAGGCGTACATGCTGCCGGTGCTGGAGGAAAAAAGATAATCGTGGTTAGTCAAGGGGCGGGAGGTTTACGGATCTGGGCGGTTATCCGCGCGCATAAAAGTAGACTTACGGTCCCCCTCCTTCTCCTAGCTGGTTGTACCAGCCCACCATAGACGCGTTGCCGGGGATGACGCCGATGCTCGTATCGTTTGGGGTGTTGAAAAAGGTGTTTTCCAAGCCCAGAGGGTCAAGCACGTTTGTTGCCAGCAGGGTTTCCCAATCCTTGCCCGTCAGCTCCTCGAGTGCGTAGGCGAGGAGCATGTAGGCCACGTTGGAGTAAGCCGGCGCATAGTCGGGGGCGAAGACAGGCATCAGGTCTTGGAGCCCATCAAAGAACTCTGCCAACAACGGGCTTCAGCATGAGTGTAGTCTTTTTGGGGGGTCTTGAACACCAGACTAAGAAGGGACACGAGGCTAGGCTATAGAACTTACGGGTCCTGTTGCATAGGACATAGACGCCACACACGGGCGTTTCGGGGAGTTTCTCCGGTGGAGGGAACCCGACATTAACGAGTCCGGGGCCGTAGTCTTGTGTCAATTCACCTAACAAGGAGTCTGCCGAGCAATGAATTCTCCCCTGTCAGCTTGCTGCCATTCCTTCCAGTTCGCGCAACGACCGTAAACAAGAAGAAACAGATGGAACAAAAAGAGCAGGTTTTCTTATCAGAGGGGAAAGGGCAGGAACCAAAAGAAAATACCGCAGGCACTTACAATCCTTGGGGATCCCCGCCATCTGCGATGCCAAAGCGCCAATCGTAATCTCATCCCAGTCCGTATACCGCACGGGGTCCTCTTCCCCCGCGTTCCGCTCCTGCATGGTCTTGAGCTCGGGGATAAAGTCGGTAATGGGCTTATACCAGTACTCGTCGCCCGCCTCGGCCAGCCACGTGAGGACGGTAAAGACCTTGGTGAGGCTGCCGAGGCGGTAGACGGTGTCGGGCCCGACATCGCGCACGCCGGTGGAGTTGACGGCGTCGAGGTTCATGGCGCTATGGTAGTGGGACCACAGCAGCGCCGAAGGGTCGGCGCGCTCGTGCGTCGACCAGGCCTGGATGGACCACGAGTTGTTGGTGGCGATGAGATTCGTGTCGTTGGCGGCGAGGTCGTTGAAGCCGGCGGTGAGCTGCTCCGCGGCCTCGAGGATGAGCGGGTGCGCGGACAGGTCGGTGGGTAGCGGGTAGGCGGGGCCGCGGAAGGCGCAGTTGGGCGAGGCGGAGGCGGCGTGTGGGGAGAGACCGAGGCCGGCTAGGAGGGCGGCGAGGCGGAATGGTGCGCGCATCTTGGAGGAGGGGAAGTGGGATGGACGGAGATGCGCGAGTGGCTGTCTTGACCCTCGCGGGGAATAAGGTGGGCGCGGATGGGGAGTACAAGGGGGGCCACAACGGATAGCTGATGGCTTTCGCTCCGGGTTAGGGCCGGGGCTTAGAAGATGGGAAAAGAACAGACGAGAAGAAGTAGGAGGAAACGGAAAAGCCTCCAAGCCCGAGCCTACTTCTATAAAACCTTGCTTCAAGATCCCCCATCCCAACTGTCCGCGTCATCGACCGCGGCAAAGGAGGGGCAGAAAACGGGAATCGTGGGAGGACGGGGCAGGAAAAGCATGACCAAATTCTCTTTTTCCTTTGAAAGTAGAGACTCACTCGGCATCCGGGAGATGAAGAGCACCTCCGGATGGCACGATAGCCAGGCCAGCCAATATCTTTCACGGATCGTCGGCGCACCTAGGCGTTGTCTCTTCCCTCCTCATCCGCACCGATAGGCATCGGATGAAAAGAAGAGAAGTGGTAGCGACAAAAGCAAGAGCGGCATGGAGCCGCGACCCAACGTGACGCCCGCTAGCTCCATGTTGGCATTCGTCATCCTTCCACTGACCTTATGGTGAGCGAGGGTCCGCGGGTAGGTTTAGCTTAGGGGGAAGGGGATAAATTGCTGGTGGTGGTGACCCACCGTCTGGATATTAGGAGATGGGTAGATATCCACACGCACACAGCTACCAACCTTTACGTCCCACCAGCTCGAGAAGAAAAAGAAAATTACACGTAGGGACCAGGAAACAAGGTTCCGCATTGGTCTATGAAGGGAAAGAGGCGAGAAGCCCGGGAAATGATTGGGACCGGGCAGGGGGATGGTTTTGGGGTCGTCCACGCGGCAGCCTCCCGTCGGCCGTGATTGCGTGTGCCTCACTTTCGGGCCCGTCGTGCCGTTCGGTCAAAGACGTGTACCTTTTCTACCGAGGCTTTTCAATTTTATTTCTTTTCTTTTTAATCTTGCTCGTTTTCTTCTTCCCCCTCTGTCTTTTCTCTTCTCCTGCTCCCATTTACACCTCAGCAGGTTTCCGGGATTGTGTCGAGCAACAAGGGTAGGCTAGAAGGGAGGCGGCAAAAAGAAGGTAAAGTATTATATCAACCATCCAATGTTCTAAATATAGGACTTCCGATTCTGGTGTTCTAATATACGCCAACACTACTCAAACTCATTCGCCGGGACGTCGTCGCTGCCCGGCCCCAAAAGGAACTGGATGAATGCGCGGGGAATAGTAATCATGGAGAGGCTGCAAGCAAGCACACCTTTCCCGAACGAGGACCGGGGGCGGGGAAGCTCTATTCAACCAGGAGAGCATCATGCGAGATGCTCAGCTATACGCCGAAATCTATACTGTCGTGCATTTGACGTGTTTCAAAAAGTCGCCTAGTGGCTCTAACGACCTGCTCTGCCGGTGTCAACTGGCGGAACTGAGGATGTGATGGAAAAGCACGGCTTAGTATGGGGGAGGGGAGGAAGCATACCGCCGCCCGGACAGCTTCGAAATTACCAATATGAGCGACGAACACGTCGTCTACGTTTAAGAAGTGGTTTCGGTCTAAGTCGCAATAGGAACAGGATGGTGATCATCCTCGCAACCGTCTCTGGCCCAGAGATGATGGGGAGTCCTCGTGGTACTCACGGCCTAGGAGGAAGAGACTCGCGACAGATCGCGATATCCACAATCACGAGAGCCTGCCGTACTAGCCAGAGGCCGCGAAGGATTGGCGAAGGCTGGGCAGCCTGGTCCTATCCCGAGACATGGGACATTGCGAATTGAACCTGTACCGTTCGCAAAAGCTAGCGATCACCAACAGATGGGAATGAGGATTCGACACCGAGTTGGCTACCAGATGTGTGCCCATCAGATCTGCCGGCCTCGCTCCCCCTCCCGCCCGCGGGCGCCAAGTCTCCGCGCCGAGGCCGATGACAGGCCCGAAATAGCCACAAGCCCACCCTCCACGAGGGATTGAGGGGTTGTCCCAGTGGGTGTAAGTCGTATATCCAAGGTAGGTTGGAGAAGCTGCAGCAGTGCGGCGACGCCATCCAGCATCCTTGACATTCTCTTTCGAAGCCAAGAAGCTCCCTAGGGAGATAAGAGAAATAGAAAAGTGAAAAAGGGTCTAAGAAAGAGAGAGAAGTAAAGATAAAAAATAACGAGGAGAGAAAAGTGACCAGTTGAGAATAACCCACCCAGACCGCGTGCAGATCTCCACCTCGAATACGTGCGCCGAGGTATACAGATGGGCGGAGTTCACACAAGGGCACGTAGGTTACACAACCTGTTCGTGGTAAAACTAAGGCGGATGAATGCAGAAGATTGACCAATTCAGAGGGGCCGACCAGGAGGCAGATTACCGGCTGCCCGGGTTAATACTCGTCCTGCGTCCCTCATCTTTTCCGCTTCATCCCTTGGACTCGAGAGACTAAATTCTTGGTCACATCTCCCGAGACAGGGACCGAGATCACAAACATGACAGTTATGTCGAGATGCCGATCAGCGCTCCGAGGAATAGTAATATGTCAACTCCCCGCTTGTCGTGTAGCTGCCAGAAGTCTCGTAGATGTAGGGTCCTCGAGCCTAATCTCTAAATATCGGAGAAGACAACAAGTGAATGGGGAGACATTACCGAAGCGATTGGCTTAGTCCCCGAGGTTAACTTGTATACATTGCTGGGTGAATTGATTCCCGCTCCATTATCTGGCGGGGTCGCTCATCGTCATACCGGGGAGGCAAACCATACTTCAAGGTGCATATGATAATTCTGTGCGGCTTATGCGATACTATAAAATAAAGCAGTTTTTATTTTGACATGACGATCCGATCCCCTGGATTCTGATGTGGGGTGACTACGCAACCAGGTTCCTAGAGCACATACAGAAACATGGCACAAGTAGGCGGCCAAGAAGCCATCGACGTGAATATACCTAGGAGTCTCAGCTTAGCGACTGACGATTGCTTCGAAAGGTTGGTTAGTTGTTGGCAGAAGACTTGTCCTCTATCGAAAGAGTTTGAATTTTGATACATGCAATGCTCGTTCTATTGATATTTACTCGTACACCCCCATCCCTCTCCCACGCTCCCCCGACCGCAGCCTTAAACATCCCCTACCGTCTTGGCCTTCTCCAACCTCTGCCACTCCTGCGCCAAGAACTGAAAGTCGGCAAACGCGGCCTTGTCCCCCTTGGCCAGGGCCTCCGCCGCCTGATCATTATGCATGCTCATCAAGTGCCGGTACGCCCTCTCGTGGCCCACCGTGAGCGCGAACTCGGTCGCCTCCCAAATCTCCTCCGCCAACGGGCCAGGGTACAGCAGGTAGTAGCCCGCCCGCACGTCCTTGTGCTCCTCCACCGCGCGGGTAAAGTACCCGTCCGCCGTCCGATCGTCCCCGCCCGGCGCGCCAGCGCGCCGAGCTGGACGAGGCAGTTGGCGTGGAAATCAAACGTTTGCCGTTGCGTTGGCTGCTGCTGCTGCTGCCCGCCGCCTACTTGCAGGGCGCGCTCGCACAGGGCCCGCGCCTCGTCGTACTTTTTGGCTTCTATGGCCATCCGGCCCGCCACGGTGAGCGCGTTGGCGTCGTCCCCGCGCTCCACGATGGCGGCGAAGCGGGCGGCGAGCTCGGCGGGCGGTCGGCACGCCGGGTGTAGCACGCGCGCGATGAGCGGGTACAGGTGCATGGCGCTGATGGTGGAGGCCTCGTGGCCGAGGGACGAGGCGTACATAAGCATCTCCACGACGATCTCGTTGACGTCGCATCCCTTGATGGTGGGGCGCGTGAGGCTGATGAAGATGGCGGCGTTGAAGAATTCTTCCAGCGTCACTCCGAGCCCTGCGTTTCGTACGTCAGTCATCGTAGCTTCATATAGACAGCGCCTCTTTCTCTCCAGAGCGCTTCGTAACCAGAAACGCCTAGTACGCAAAGCGCTAAAGCACGCGGTAGAGGGTAGGGAAGAAGCCTCACTTTTTAACAGTTTCGGGCCTTCTAGGTCATTATTCTTGATCGCCTTGATCAACTCCGCGGCGCAGGCCCAGTGAAGCTCGGGGTCGCCCTCCTGGAGCCCCTGCTTCTGATGCAAGGCGGCAAAATCCTCCACCGGGGGCATCCTCGCCGAGGCGACTCTCTGCCGCGCCTCCCGCGATCCAGGCTTGAGGAACATGGGGTCGACCGGCTTAGGGCCCCTGGGCTTGGGGGACGAAGCCGACTTTGCGTAGCACCTCGGCTGCTGCGGAGAAGAGGTTGCCGCCGCGGCTACTTGAAGGAGGTTATTGCGCGATACGGGTAGTGGCGTGGCGCCGGGTAGGAGACGGCAGAGAGGCCGCGAGGTGCGAATGAGTGGGCGCGACATGGTGAGAGAGAGGACCATGCAGCGGCTAGAATAAGCGTACCAGCTCGCCCTACACCTTTATTTGGGGATTGACCCAGTCCAAGATGACCTAAAGCAAGTATGTTTCAAATCACCGATTAAAATGGCAACAGGGTAGAGAGAACGCAAGGCGCATGTGATACAAATATGCGTCGGAGGATGGAGGAGTGATGTGTTAGGATCTGAGATGAAGAAGCAACAGCTTCAGAAGGGTCTCGGTGTAGATTTAGCGTGGCTGACAGGTTCGCATCAATTATTGGTCAATAGAAGGAGTGCGGCCCCACAAGATAAGAGTTCACCGGCTTATCGCCCACCAAAAAAAATTGGCTTGGGAATATTTTCTCCCACAGCCATCACCCCTCCCTTCTCGTTTTCCATTCACCGTTAAGAAGACACAAAACCAGGGAGATTAAACGACGAGGCACCTGGCGACGACATCTTCGACTTCCTTCACACATTTTTCGACTCCCTATCCAGACCACGCGAGCGTCTCCATCGCTCGAATTGGGCCCCCTCGCCCTCGGGAGGACAAAAGGAAAGGAAAAAGAAAAAGAATACATACCTACGCCTACGAGCCGCCTCAGCCGCAACCATGGTGACGACACGAAGCGGAACAAAGCGCAAGTCCATGGACAACTCCGATATCATCGAAACCGCAGAACCCCCTCGTCGAGCCCCAAGCGACAAAAGCTTCCGGTCCGCAAGAAGGGCGCCGGCGAGGACCCCGAGTCGTCCCCGCACCGAAGAAAACCCCCGCGAAGAAGACGCCATCCAAGAGGAAAGCCGGCGGCGGTAGCGCGGATCCGCGCCGGCGGCCGAGGATGAAGATATAACGCTAGACCTGGACGCGGCGCTGCAGAAGCAGCTCGCGGCCGCCCACCCCAGCCCGGCGGTGACGAAGAAGGCCGCCGGAGCGACGACGTCTGCTCCTGCTCCTGCTCCTGCTCCCGCGGCGGAAACTGCTCAAGATTCGGATTCCGACTCGGATGACGAGGCGCCCGAGGCCGTATCCAATGTTCAGGCCGCCGAGCAGGCGAAGCAATCCGCCCAGGCCGCCCAGAAGGCTGCTCAAGAGTACGTTTGGTTGCCCACATTTCCCACGGCCACGCTTCCCCGTACTTTGCGGGGATAGCCAGCAAATTGTGTCTTCAAGGGGGTTTCTTCTTTTTATAAAGCTAACAATGTATCTCTTGAAAATAGACAAGCCACGCGCGAGAGGAAGAAGCGCCAGGAGCGCGACGCCCGGCTCAAGGCGCAAGCCGAATCGAGAAAGGCCAAGGCCGTCCCCGAGCCCGCTCAAAAGAAAGTGGTCAAGGACGGTGACGAGGAAGTCGACGTTCAGGCCGAGGTAGACGCAGATGCAGACGCTTCCGAGAAGGAGGACCACGTTGTCGGCAAGACGAAGAAGAACGCTCTCTCCGGCTTCCTCCCCGAAGAATTCCTCCAAGATTCGGACGATGACGAGGACGACGAGGCCCGCCAGCTAGACGACAGCGGCGCCGACGAGCCGAAGCGCAAGAAGCGCAAGGCCGAGCAGAAGAAGACGGCGCCCCGTGACAAGAAGGCAGGCGGGGCCGTGTACAGGGTGATGGAGCAGGCGGACCAGAGGCTGGCGCCCAAGAGCCAGCGCAACACGCGGGAGATCAAGGCGAGGCTGATGCAGAGGAACAGAAAGGCCGTGGGACAGACCAAGGGGTTCATCGTGGGGAGGCCGGTGCCGAAGCCCGACTGGGGAAGCTCGAGGAGGTGAAATGGAGAGGAGGAGGGGGAATCAAATCCGGTGCAGATGAGTGGGTTCGCTTTTCGCTTTGTTTTTCTGGTCTCGGGCGTTTTCATCATCCTCTTTTTGTTGTCTGCCTCATATTCTTTGGCTATTTTTCTAGACTCATGAATGACATTGGGCTTTGCATATCAGCCATCCATTATGCCCGAATGCTGGGCATTCAAACCTCGTTCGATGCCAATTCTCAACACGTTTGAATAGGTAAGCGCAGACCGTTCATACTAGATTCCCAGACTACTAGATACAGGCGCGCATAGCTTCTCAGGGCGGCTGTCTGCCATCACTCAACATTGATGAGCAACTACTAGAAAGACTAAACGACTTGCGACACTCTGGCCCAGCCGATCGCATAATCTCCCTCGTTCTCACCCCTTTCACGCAGTACTTCCACATCCCCGCCTACTATCGAATCCAACCATCGTCCTCTTGCCAAAAGGCCATAGCTTCGTTAGCTACGAGGAGGGGCACGAAACGATGCGTATCGTCGCATTCTCGGGGGCCTCCTGAGCGCTCACGACGACAGGTAATCGAGCACCGTTTCCTGTTGGATGGCAGGTTTTGTGTGGAGACGCAGCACTTTTGCACCGCCGTAACAACAAGCACCGCAGCAACACGAACGCCTCGGGGAAAAGAGCGATCCCCAAAGGACCCCGTTTTCCAAAACAACTCTCCATCTCTCGCGAACATTTCCCGCCGGCAACCGACTTCGAATCACTTGCGCACGAGCCCAGCGGAAGCCATGATGCAACAGCAGCAGTAGATCTCCCTCCATCTCTCACTCATATACCTCACCCCCTCCCTCTCGTTTTATCTCGATCTACGTAGCAGCGGCGGCATCACGGCATCGACAGATGGGCCACCAGCCACCGCGCTCCAACCTACACGATTTGGGGGAGTGTCGCTCGTAGTCTCATAGCGCAACTAGGTCGCATCGCCCTCAAGAACAGGACACTACCCCTCAGGATTGACGCTCTTCTGCTCGCGTCGCTTTATCTCACAAAGAAATACTCCCATCACTTGAAAATGGAGGGGGTCTTGCTTGTATTCAACTAGCCAGCCCTCTCCCAGGCTAAGCGAAACATTGAACAGAGCAGCCATCGTCACAGCCACCCTCCTCTCCCGAAACGATTGACCGAATACCACTATCCGTTTCTCCACGCCGTCGGTGGAGTTGAAAAAAAGAGGGGCGCGTTTACGGTAGTAGATGCTACCGTCACCTCCATCTCTCTCTTTTGTCGGTGTCTTCCTTTCATACTCATACTGCATACAGCGCGGCCAGGACGGGAACGCGCTCCGTTGAGGAACCAAGGCCCGCGCCACGGCGCATCGCGCGCCCCTCCTCTTTTCCCCGGCCGCCGGATGCGCGCTCGGGACTTTGAGGAATGGCGGGTTCGTTGCAGTAGGATAGGAATGGCACCTCGATTCCTTCCCTTTGAGAGTTAGTGGCTAGTGACAGGAGCGTGCGCAAGGCAACAAAAAAAAGGATCCTCGAAACACCGCAACCAAAAGCCCATCGCGCCTTTTAGGCTCGCGGGCTTTTCTTTTAGAGTGGTTTCCCTCTATAATGGCTACATGTGGCCAGCCCCTTCGACGTGTATGTGCCTTGAAAACTTTGACGTTACCACGTAGTATCATCTTCGCCACCTTTGCCTCTTCAAGCACCTCCGCGTAGTGTACACTGCGATGATAATACCTCAAATGCACCTGATGAATCCCAAAAGAGCCGCCATCACACCGCGTCTCCTTGGTTTCTCGTATCCCCCACGCCCCGTCTTCTCTTGCTCCAGCCACTATCCTTTGCCATTGAGGGAGCTGATATCAATATCTCCCTCTCGTGCCCCCTCCCCCACCTAACGCGGATACGACACCTCGCCATGAGGCAAGGGCACAAGGGTTAGCATAGGATGGATATCGAGAGCTGGACAATAAAGACCGCTGCTGCATCACTTCAGCACTTCCACTTCCGCAACACGCTGCTCTTTTCCACCCCCACCCACGTCAACGTTTGCCAAGGGGAAAGACACCCAGCCGGCCCCCTTGCCGCGCGGAACCTCGGCGGTGCCACCTGCTGCCCACCCCCAAGCTCAAACTCTCCCTTCCCCAAGGCAAAAGATCCCTTCCACGAGCTGAAGGTGTTTCTTTCCTTTTTCCCTTCCCTTCAATGCGACGTTTGCTCTTGGAATTGTGATAGGTCTTTGAACATCTCTATAAAAGGGGGCACGCGAGGGGTGTGCTTGACAGCTGATCTCACTTCTTTGGGCTTCTTTTCCATTATTTGCTTTCCCCCTTTCACTCCGAGAATGACAAGTAATGTGTGATCTTGTCTCTCTCAACCCGCCCCCTGGTTTTTTGCTCCCAAGGATATTTTTTTTTTCCTCCCCTCCCCTGGTGCTTGCTGGGGTCCCCTACTTGGGGCTCCGTCGAAACGCAGACGCGAGTGTAACGTCCTCCTCAGCGATGTCAGCCAAACAACTCCCACCCTGAACCAGTCAAGGGTCAAAAGTGGAGCTTGGAGAGGGACTGGAAGTGGTCCCGGTTCCAAGCCCCGGTAATAGAGAGAGAGAGAGAGAGAGAAGGGGGAGGGGAAGATGGCACAAAGTATCTGCAAAAATGATGCAGGAGAACGGGGTCAAGAATACCCATCACGGGGATTGAGATTGGAGAATTTGAAAGGGGAAAAAAGACTCCAAAAAACGCCGAGAGCAAAGCCATCTTCAAACATCGGAACGGGGCAGACGCAAGGCCGATCACCTACACCTGGTGGGTAAACCACCGGGGATCGGACTTGTCCCGTGGATACATCTATAATACTAGAATCCCATCTATTAACACTCATAAAATGGTTTCCTTAGAAAAGAAAAAAAAAAAAGGAACAGATCGATCTCATCTGCCATCGCCCATTTTGGCCTTCGTGTCATTGGGGACGGAGAATCATTTCCTCTGCTCCGCCGTTGGGGCGGCGCCGACGAGAACCCACGTCTATATCGTTGCTACTATACGTGGCAACCACGACGAGGATAAGACAATAGCTCGGCGGCCAATCTCGATCTCCGCTCCCGCACAAAGGGAACGGCTATGATACAGCTGGCCATGATAATAAAAATCCCGTAGGCAGGGCCCCGGAAGGAAAATTGGAAGTGATTTGTCGCATTCCTACGGGTATATCCTCCGCCCCGAAGGAATGCGAGCAGCGCACAGAGGTTGGCTTGACGGGTGTGGAAGGGGAACTGGACTAGAAACATGATGAAAGCCAAAAAACTGACAAAATGGAAAACATAGTGTAGACGACCACCGGGCCACATGTCTGGTACGAACACGTCTGTTCCTCTCACAGATCCGTTCACCTTACTTTTCTTTTCCGCCCCTTCGCTGACGCTGGCGGAAGGGGGCGCGCGGCGCGGCGCAACCACACCGTTAGGTCGGGGGTTTCGCTCGCCCGGCCGGTGGCTTTCGTTTCCAATCCTGTGCACCATCGTTCCAGTCGGTATTGACACGTCGAATTCTGGGTTTGCCCATCAATTGAACCGTGGATGTTTGTGGATTGGACACACAAAGAGGAGCACTCACACACTCACACACTCACACACTCACACTCATTGTGTGCGTAGCATTCGTAGATGCTCACAAATTCTGAAACGAGCCGAGTAAGTAGGGTCGGAGACGCTATTGCTACGCACACATCCACACACACACAATCAGAATGGATCCCTTTAGTTTGTGGCGCGCTTGCACGACGAAAAAGAGCGATGGGTTCCTGTCATCTCAGCCATCGAAATCGGCCAAACTAAAAACGAAAAAAAAAAAAAAAGGCACCAAGGGGACCCATCGAAACCCGGGCCCCAAAACGCCGGTTGTTAAACTAGCAGAACCGGCGTCTCGATGCCGGGGGCCCCGCGGCTGGCAACGGGCTGTAGTGGAGTGGGGGAAGGGGGTCAGGCCATGCACGTTTTTTTCATCGGGGTTTTGGAGCACTCTAGCTTTGTGGGTAGCTAGCTTATTGCCTGGCCTTGAGGACGAGCCACACTCTCTTCCTTGCCCTCTTGATAGCGCGATGGGGTGTAGACGTCGAGTCTTTTCCCTCCTGATTTGCGTCCATCTCCCCATCCTAGGTTCTCTTTCGTACTTCCTAGTTCTCCACAATGGCAGTGTAGTGTACATGTAGTCGAGGTGCATCGTTAGTGTGCTGATCCCGACTCTCCCAACTTAACGGGCAGGGTTTCCGGTCGCGGGTCACGATTCGCTATCCCGGCGTAGACCCTGAGCTCTGCGAGGGATCGCGAGAAGCAAGGTGATGGGGGTGGGGGAACATGATGGCCATAACCATGAAGTAAGAATATCTTGTCTTGCAGCTTGAGCAGGGGAGGCAAGGGCGGGGGGATAGATGGGGAGAAGGCGAGGAAGACGGATGCACCGAGCAAGCGAAGTGCTTTCTCTGTTTGATTCATCCAAGGCCGAGGCCAATCAGCGACCTCATCTACCGAGCGGCATCGTTCAATGTCTCCTCGGCGATGGCCCGTCACCAGTTCATAGGTGCTTGGTAAAGGAGGAGGAGAAGAAAAAGTAAAGAAAACCGCCCATCCTCTTCTGCGAGGGGGAATCGAGCAATGAGGCAAAAGAGAAAAAAGGCCTCTTGCAGTCTGTTGCCCAGTCTTTCCTTGACCCCTTTCCTTTTCTGTCGTTTCCCCCGAAACACAATCAGGCCATTTGCGAGGGTCATGTTCCTAGCTCGACGATGGCGTGCCTCCACTGCAACCGTAACCAAAGCTACGGGTAATAAACTCCGTCAGCCCTTGACTGGCTAGGCTCCAGGGCATCGCCAACCCCATGTGGAGCGGGGGACAAAGGGATGGACAAGAGAAAAAAAGAAAAAGAAAAAGAAAAGAGTAAAAAGTATGAGGAAAAGATGAAGGTGCCCTTGTTCCAAATCGACCCGGAAGCCTGTCAGCCATTGCTGCGCCATCATACTT